CGTACTTCATTGGACCGAACTTCTATTGAATATCTATCCCTTTAAATGTTTTCTGTATGTTCAACTATTAATTTTCCAATATCTTTTAATATTGCACTAGACAACTTCATAATTTCCGCTAATCCAATAATAAATCCAATATCGCTCTCGTGTACGTATGTCTGTATTATCGAGATCAATATCGATTAAAAAAAATACTATCGCACATTACTAGTTAACTTTGTACTGTGTACCTGGCGGCGCAGTAATATAGGCAACACTACAACCGACTACACAACAGTTATTTTTTGAAGTTTTGTGTGGCAGAAAGGCGTGGTTCACTTTCACAGGAAGAAAACAAGCACCGCGTTCAGTACGTATCCAACCCAAAGACGCACGTGTTTTCCCGATGCAGTTTTCTTTGACTGCGTACAGGCGGCGCTCAACTCAGTTCCAGTAGCTCTGTATAACGCGTTTAGAATCTATTTTTCTCCTATAAATCTGAACTGCTGTGTTTGGTCCTAGTTTTGAGATTTAGGCAATTAGTTAAGTGATATGTCTACATTATTTCATCTCGAATTTCTCTCTTTTCTATTTTTATTTTAATTATTATAAAGTCAGATCACAGTTTAAGCTTCTATGTGTAGTACTTAACCCTCAATATACCAATATTTTTATAATGTAAGTGCGTTCCAACTCTTAAAAGAGCTTTACTCTCAGTCATATAATTGATTAATTATAGTGTCTTCGGGTCACTCTGACTGTATAATACTCTGACAGTACGTTGTTGATTTTTTTCGGACAGTGTTTTTTTCTTCGCAGAATATATGTAGTGTTCTTGTGTTTTTTTTATAATTATAGTTTATTTGCGAAAATATTTACAACGAAAAACGACATTTTGACGTTTGTCTTGTTATGAACCACACTGTTAAAGTTTAAATGCTTCAAAGAAGTAATAAGGAGCAAATAATTGTAAGAAATAGAAGTGTCTCATTCCCATCAAAAATAGACAAAGAATAGACAGCGTTACTCAAAGGTATTTCCGTAAAGTTGGTGAAAAGAAGTGAGAAGAATATAGACGGGAGAGAAAGTATTGGTGGCAGGGGCCAGAGGGGATGGAAAAGTGGAAAGGAAGATAGAAGAGGAAGGGGATCTCATGAGGTGCATCGGCATTTATTAGAAACATAATCAAAATATTTACAGCAAAACATATGTACAAAATCAGAGTAACAGAGTGCCCAACTCGGGCTATAGTACGTAAATATATCTCAACGAATCAAACGTATGTACAGTATATTAAATTATTTACATTGCATATGCTTTTGAGTTTGTAACAGAGGTTGGTTGAATACAAAGGTAGCAGTAATAAACAGTTTAACATAGAGTTAAAAGGTTGTGTATATGGTCAATACAGAAGAATTTACATTGCAGAGTTTGCTTGATGATGGTGCAGAGAGTACACTGTGGAATATATATAGTAGAGATTACTTGAAACTGAAACTAAGGTCGATGAGTAGAGGAGGGTCTGTAGTCTAGTTAAGTCTGTTCAGTCGAAGTTGAGTCTTCGGATATCTGGATATGGGATGGGTCCAGAGCGGTAGTGTCCTTTAAAAACTTATTTACTGCGATGTAAGATTCTCGTTGTTGGACGAGCCTTTTATGTGGGCAAGGCCAACTATATTTGGACTTGAGGATCTTTCCCATTAATACAGTTCTTTGCTGTTCAAAGAGTTCACAGTCCCACAGGAGATGGTTTACGACTAGAATCTCTGTGTTGTTGCATGGGCAAGTGTCAGTGTCCTTTAGGTTAAATCTCTTTAACCCCCTTGAAGTCAGCAACCTTACACTATGGTACTTAACAATAGGCAGAAACGTTATTTGGTGTGAATAGAAAATATGATCTATTATAAAGCCCATTATATCTACTCTAAGACACTTACTTTATAAACATAAAATTGATGTAAGTGAAATAATACAAAGTTTATTTGTAAATTTCTTATGGAGTACTTCATGGAAGACAATCATCGTAGCAATCTTTCATTTAAAGATAAAGTCTGCTCCCCTTTGGATCAATCAAAAACAGTTAAGTGACGAATCTGTTTCGAAGGCCATCATCTATACAGTATTAATTTTTTATTGTTTTTAGTATTAAACGCTGTATTTTTATGTATAAAATGTGTTTTCGTATGTATTTTGGAATTCTAGAATCTAGAATTTCCAAAGTGCATACCAAAACTCTAGATTTAATTAATTGGATTTACATCGATTCATATAGAAAAATTTATCACGGGATTCGACGGTTTCGGATTTTGCCTGTTGAATTCGGACGAATTATTGAGTAAAACCGATTTACTACTGTATTGGCGTTTAAGTCGCTTACCGTTTATAATAATAATTTAATATAATAATAAGAAATAATTTAAGCCGGTATTTTTGTTTTTTAAGCAAACAAATCGGTACAATAATGAGTCTGATAAAACAATTCCGAAATTTTACATTATTGTAGTGCATTCTTGGTGTTTCATCTTTTCTAAATTTATAAAGTAAATTTAAATTTTAAATTATTAATTTTTTAAATGCAACCAGGAAAGGTAAGTGAAACGTTCAATCTGTTTTGTAACACATTACTTTAAAAATATTATATTACTGTATTTACTTAAGTAATATAACATAATATTAGGCGACATTTGTCATTAGAAATTATAAAAAATAAAAAGTTTGAAATTTTACTTTCTATCGAGAAAATATAGGCCTATATATTTTACTATTATGTTTTGATATAAAGAAAAAAATATTTCTGAAGNATATACTAATATACTAATTACATGGGATATAATAATATACTACACTAATAATGGATTTTTTCATACTTTTCGGTTATCCGACTTTTCAATTATCCGACCAACCCCAGTCCCCAATTAGGGCGGATAATCGAGGTTCTACTGTAATTGCAAGTAAAATGTAATATTGACGATATAGTATGATGATTATTCTAATTAACATTGTGACATTTACTCAAAAATTCATAATATGGTATAAAAGATCAAAGTGTTATAAACCTATGATTGTAAGCTGCTTAAAGGCAAACGTATTTTGGATTTCATCTGAAAATTGTATAACAGTGTTTTATAATATTCGTGCTCTATTCTATAGCATTTGGTAAAACTTCTAAACAGTAGTACAGTAATTGGTCGTGGGTTCGTGCCTGAATCATGCGCTTGGCATTTGTCTTCCAGAGAGACACTCACCTTAAGCGGATTGCTTATGTGTTATATGTGAATTGCCTAACTCCATTAATTTAATCCTAAAATATTTGAAATATTTTGAGCTGAAATTTTAATATGTGAGACTAAGACCAATTCAGTTTCACGATTATTCAATTTGCATTATGCTCGTTAAACATTTTTCTATCCAACGAGAATGCTAATTAAAGAAGTACACAAACTCTAGTCCTTTAAATTAGGAGGCCAAGATGGCAGCCCACCACTCTAGGGGACCCGGGTTCGAATCCGAACGGGTCGAAAAATCCCCAGAAATTTTTCAGGGGTGTTCCGTTCGGATATGACGGGCCCCGTCCCTCACCACCCGGCAGCCCCATTGTGGGCCCGGCCGAACCCATAATGGGCTTGCAAAAACAGGCCCTCTTAGTGCCCACAGGGCGGAAAGAGTTAAAAAAAAAGTCCTTTAAAATATTTGTTCGAAGTAGTAAAGCCTGCATTTGAAAAGATTTAATGAATTACTTTTCCCTACGTTTTTAATTATTACTTTCTAGTTTAAGTTAAAAATATCGAAAGTTATCCAAGTTGAAACACTATAAATTCGATTATTACGATAATTTAGATATTCATNCAAATCGGTACAATAATGAGTCTGATAAAACAATTCCGAAATTTTACATTATTGTAGTGCATTCTTGGTGTTTCATCTTTTCTAAATTTATAAAGTAAATTTAAATTTTAAATTATTAATTTTTTAAATGCAACCAGGAAAGGTAAGTGAAACGTTCAATCTGTTTTGTAACACATTACTTTAAAAATATTATATTACTGTATTTACTTAAGTAATATAACATAATATTAGGCGACATTTGTCATTAGAAATTATAAAAAATAAAAAGTTTGAAATTTTACTTTCTATCGAGAAAATATAGGCCTATATATTTTACTATTATGTTTTGATATAAAGAAAAAAATATTTCTGAAGATATTAATGACGAAAGTATAATTTGTAGTAGTTTATACAATGAATATTTTTTTAAGGACGAAAAGAAGAAACATGAATGCACTGAATGTAAAAGAACATTTTCAACGAAATCGCGCTTAGATACGCACCTGAACACTCATACTGGTGAGAAACCGTTTCTATGTGATATTTGCGGTAAAAACTTCTCCCAGTCTGGAAATTTAACGATGCACAAAAGAATACATTCGGAAGAAAGACCATTCAAATGCAACCATAAAGACTGTAAATACGCCGCGAAAACGAAATTTTCTCTGTTATCACATGTCAAACGATTACATCCGCATGCAATCGCTTCTGATATTATTACTGTAAGGATTATGTTTATGTTTATTTTTGCATTTAAGTCCATGTATTATTTATGAAATATAATATATCAAATTTATTAACTTAAAATATAAAACATAACATTATGATGGACTATATNTTTTTATTGTTTTTAGTATTAAACGCTGTATTTTTATGTATAAAATGTGTTTTCGTATGTATTTTGGAATTCTAGAATCTAGAATTTCCAAAGTGCATACCAAAACTCTAGATTTAATTAATTGGATTTACATCGATTCATATAGAAAAATTTATCACGGGATTCGACGGTTTCGGATTTTGCCTGTTGAATTCGGACGAATTATTGAGTAAAACCGATTTACTACTGTATTGGCTTTTAAGTCGCTTACCGTTTATAATAATAATTTAATATAATAATAAGAAATAATTTAAGCCGGTATTTTTGTTTTTTAAGCAAACAAATCGGTACAATAATGAGTCTGATAAAACAATTCCGAAATTTTACATTATTGTAGTGCATTCTTGGTGTTTCATCTTTTCTAAATTTATAAAGTAAATTTAAATTTTAAATTATTAATTTTTTAAATGCAACCAGGAAAGGTAAGTGAAACGTTCAATCTGTTTTGTAACACATTACTTTAAAAATATTATATTACTGTATTTACTTAAGTAATATAACATAATATTAGGCGACATTTGTCATTAGAAATTATAAAAAATAAAAAGTTTGAAATTTTACTTTCTATCGAGAAAATATAGGCCTATATATTTTACTATTATGTTTTGATATAAAGAAAAAAATATTTCTGAAGATATTAATGACGAAAGTATAATTTGTAGTAGTTTATACAATGAATATTTTTTTAAGGACGAAAAGAAGAAACATGAATGCACTGAATGTAAAAGAACATTTTCAACGAAATCGCGCTTAGATACGCACCTGAACACTCATACTGGTGAGAAACCGTTTCTATGTGATATTTGCGGTAAAAACTTCTCCCAGTCTGGAAATTTAACGATGCACAAAAGAATACATTCGGAAGAAAGACCATTCAAATGCAACCATAAAGACTGTAAATACGCCGCGAAAACGAAATTTTCTCTGTTATCACATGTCAAACGATTACATCCGCATGCAATCGCTTCTGATATTATTACTGTAAGGATTATGTTTATGTTTATTTTTGCATTTAAGTCCATGTATTATTTATGAAATATAATATATCAAATTTATTACCTTAAAATATAAAATATAACATTATGATGGACTATATAACTAGTTTAATTATTATAAATAAAATTGATAATTTACAGTAAAATATTGAAAAATATACTTATATCTCTATCGTAAAAATCGTAAATATTAGTTACTAAATAACTTCTTTACTAATAAGCGTTTAAAATGTATAGAAGATTAAATGAATTTACAAAATGTATTAAAATTTAACTGTAATTTTCTATTTTAGTATGTACGAAATAGCATAATGTATCTTATATATCATATAATAATTAGATTCCCGGAAAAAAGGCAGAAAAAGATCATAAATGTGATAAATGCGGAAAAAATTTTCTATGGTTATCTCATTTAACATTGCACTTGATATCTCATGAAAAAATCCGACCGTTTTCATGTGCTATTTGTAGGAAAACGTTCAAATATAAATATCAGTTAAATGGACACATGAAGAAAGTACATCCTAAGGAAGAAACCGCATCTTCTTCCAAAGTACGTAAAGAAATTGTTCAAAATTAATTTTTTAAAATTACTTGAATATTCTAATGTAAAAAAGTTATTGAACTTGTAAAAAACTTTTAAAATTGATTAACAGGTTTTTTCTAGGTGACTTTATTACATGATTGCTATAAATAATTTTATTCTGTAACTTTTAATCATTTAATAACAGAGCATTGTTTATGTAAAATGAACAATTGACACAAAACAAAAAACTGATCATTTGAAGTTTGTAATTTGAGTCATTTAATAATCAGCATCAGTCTTTTTATACTTCTGTATACGGTATTTCCAAAACAACAGGATTTAAGTTACAGTAAATTTTCAGATTCATGGTGTATCTGATTATTTTAATTTAATGTTGTCATTGTCTGTATTATTGATATGTTTCTAAATAGCATGCTAAATTATCATTGAAATAGAAATGGTAAAATTTGGTCTCTATAACTTTCAATAACTAGTAAAATTACTATTAAGGTGAAATCTACCATCGTAAATTATTTGGAATGAATTTAATCGTAATAATTGTTTCGACATATTTCTTCTCTTTTCTACAGAAACAATTTCTATTTAATTAGTGAACTTTTTAAACTTTAGTACTCGATTGTTTATTGTTTTTTTTTTTCTTGATTCTTTCGACTTAAGCACAAAATTGCTACGGAGAACTTATCACAAACAATTTCTAAGATGGAAAAAGTAGATTTGATGTTTTATATATTATAAAAGGAAATGCATTTTGAATTACATGCTGCTAATCAGTTTTAATTTTATGGTAAATGTACTGTACATAAGATGTTACAGAACAAATTAATACTTAATTATATTTTACAGACGCTTAAAATTCACAAAAAGATTAAAAAAGAATTACCATAGTATAACTAATGGTAACTAATAACTGGACAGTGGACATCTAGGCACTTAAAATAAGCTTTTAAATTGCGTCGTTTAAGCTATATAAACAAAAAATAGGCGTTCAAAATTTGCACAATGAACAATTTACGTACTTATCACGACGATGAATTTTTTATTTAACATATGTATTGCAAACAAAAATGCACGTATTCAGAATCATGCAAACACAAATGTAGACAAACAATTATCTTTACATTTTTTATCTACTCATTTTTTGTTTCCCATAGTTAGCTTCATAATATGTTACAAGCACTTTTTCCAAATTTTAATAGAAAAGTTGCAATGTTTGTCACTGATAATTAATTTTTATGCAGAGAAAGAGCGTTCCATATCTACTGAAGATAACGGACAGTATTTCAACCTTGGAAGAAGATGAACTGAAAATTTACTTTCAGTTTTGCACTTCTTTCCTGCCAAAATATCAGCCACAACAAACAAACACTTTAATCCAAGTCTCTTTTGAAGCAATGCTTTCAACTCTTTCTTCACTTTTTTGCAGCAGTGCCTGGTGCATCACAATGTTTCTGGTTTGCTCTGTTGAGGAGATCAATTTGTTCATATATGTGAGGGTCAAAATTTAAGAGGGCCGAGATTCGAATAGTTATATTCATTTTGTTCATTCATTTTCCGTTTTGTTTCAAAATCAAACCGATTTTTTTAAAGTTAGGGTTAACACAAAAAGGGAAAAACAACCGACAAATTTTCTCATAAAAATCGCTCATAAAAACTCCGTTCCCACAACAATACTTCCCTGTATAGGATGAGTTAATTGTTGTGTCATAAGTTTGTCACTTCGCCCACCATTGGTCAACGAAGATCATCACCTGTGACGTACATAGGGAAATCTCGAAAAAAGAGAGCCCCCATATAAAAGACAAGTGCGATGACGACACAGGGGGGGGAAATTAAGTTCTTTTCTCTATACTGTGAGTGTGTGCCCGTGGATTTACCTGCATCTCGTCGCCACCGTCTTTAATAGACTTTGAACTTTGGACTGATTTGAACTTTGAACTTGGAAGGACGAACCTCGGATCAACGTTATAACAACCTAATCAGAGGTATTTATCCTACACGCGATGATATGTAAGCTCTCTCTCGCTATTCGAATATTTCAAACTCGCGGTTAGAGTCGCGACTACTTTATACAGTACTTTGCCGTTACTTTATGAACTATACGGATTGAAAATCCCGAGAGGGATTTGTATTCCAATTCTTAACTATGTATAAATGTACGGAATAAACGGAATAAACGGGTATTTTGTTAACGAACGATTGGAGTGCATTTCTTCCACCATTATCACCTTCATACTAAACCCGAAGTCCTCGACGAGATCGCTCGTGATAATTCCCCCCATCTATCCGCGTATCTATCCGCGATAAATTGATAGATTGGTGTCAGATCCTGACAGGTGAAAGAATCTAACGATCCTTTTTCCTGACCCTCTTTTTTTCCATCCTTTAGACAAGCGAGACCGACTCAACTCAACTCAAGACTCGACTCAAGACCTTGAGTCGAGTAAGAGGTAGGAAAGTGAAGAACTCGTAAACATCCTACCCCCGATTAGTCTCGCATATATAGGTTACCTGCTACTTTCGAGAGCAGTAATAGTATCTGCAATGAATGTGAAATAACACTTGATGTACAGTACATCAACTTGTTCTGAACATAAATATCATTCAAAATTTTCTTGGCTTTAGTTTCACAAACTGCATTGTCCGCTAAAGTGACTAGAAGTTTTTGGATATCGAAGAAATGTTCACTGTAGTAGTTAGTACAATATCTTAGCCACGAATATGCTGCGGTGAAAATAGGCATTTGCTTAAAATCCGCTGTCTACTAATAACGTAAGGTAAAACTAAAATAACGAAAACTAATAAATCAATATAATAACTTGAATAAAAAGTAATAAATAATAATAATTCGGCATTCAGGTGCCATTTTATTTTGCACTCTATGCGAAGTTTACAAGTATGTTCCTTATTTTACAAGTTAGATATTTTTAAAAATGAAATCTTACGTATAATAAATAAACATAATAAATTTTGGCATGCTTTATTATTTATATACAAAGTAATATACAATCTGTAATTCTTTAAACAAAGCCATTTTTACCTTTTTTTAAACAATTTGAAAATTTTTTGTTGCAATTCATTTACAAAAAGTTATAAAATATCAAAGTTTAATATTTTAAAAATGTTTAACGTGTTAAAATATATATCTTAGATGAATTTTAAATAACAGTAGGATCAAATCATTTAAGGTAAGTCAAATAAGAACAAAGTGTTAAATACTAAAATAGTGTGACATGAGAGAAATAAGGAAAAAAAATCGATTCGTAAATCATATATCACTATTTAATTCAATATTTTAGTAAAGTGTGCAGAACGTTGAAATTTTCTTAAAATTTTGTACCCAATAATGGTGTGAGACAGACAGAGGGTCAGCGGTTAATCCCTCCTGACCACTTACATTGCAAACGCCGGTAAAATCCCGGTCTCGGAGTCGTCGAATGACTAGGAAGGCAAAAAGTGAGTGAGGAGTGCGAAGGTAAGCCGGCAGGCGTCCTTTCAACGACAGGAGACAGGTTTAACAAATAAATAAAGCATTTATTAAATAACTAAATCTAAGTTACAGGAGGCGAAAATCATACTAAGGTTAAATGCGATGATACTATACTATTTACATAAAACGGGCGACTAATCTCGAATCTATAAATATATCGCTGACTTAATTTCAGTGCGAGAGAGAGTGATTTTACAAGTTCTATATCCCCTAAATACCTCTCAGAGTAATGGAGAGTTGATGCATCGTCTGTATGGAAGAGGTAGTAGTTCTTGGTGTCTTCTCTGACTGGATCCAATTCCTTTGCATGGAGATCGACTGGCACAAGTACAGAAATAACTTTCGTGTGCCGACGCACCCTGAGCTTCCAGGACTCGGACTTTTATTCAGTTGTCGTGGGAAAGGAGTCGCATGATCGTCACATGTTGACAATAACGGCCCATTCTTGACACCTATCTGTCAACTTTCCCATCTAATTGTTATAACAAAGGGTGATCTTCGATCTAATTCTCACCAGGAGCTTTTTTCTATCGAAGTTGTTTACATTTTTTTCGACAACTGCGTTAAATTCGCGGATTTCACACCGGCTTGCTTATTGGGCTGTTGTCTAGTTTGCCTAAATGATAAATAGTGTTGGCCATCTAAATAGGTATACATGTAAAGTAATATGTAAAAGTTGTTCAAATTTAGAAAATAATTGTCAAATAAAAACAGTAGAAAACATGAGAACATTAGAATAAATTAGTTTTCAGCTTATGAAGTTTATATATTTATAACAAAAATAATTGAATATAAAAAATTATTTATATGTTATATTGATTGCATTTATTTTTATTCTTCTTACGATATTCTGGTTAAAATCACAACTATATTTTTACATGGCTTTTTCTAATTTGTTTTAAAATAATCATATTGTAAAGAATATGCTGAGATATTAAGTAAAAGCAGTTGATAAAGCAATTAGCGAAAGATTAATTATTCTTTAAACTTAATTCAATTTTTCAAATTTTACTTTTTACAATCCTGTGAACAGAATAGTCAGAAATTACCTTCACAGTCGCATAATAAAATATCAGCTGCAGTATCAAGTGAAACACATGACAAGTCACAGAATGATCAACACGAACAATCATCTGAAATGGCATTTCTATGTGATTTGTGCAACTTCAGGACTTGGTCAAAGGAGAAATGGTTTATGCATAAACAACGTCATGCCGATGAAAGTAAATTCAAGGTGAACGTATTTATTTATAATGCTACTTTATAAATTAATATTACAAGAAAATATTTGTTTTAAACTTTACATCAAAATATTACCAATTGCCATTGAAATTTTTTTGCATGGAATATGGTATTTTATTCCATTTTTTTTCAATCCATTTGAAACGATAAATACTTCCAATTCTAAATATGCAAAAGAGGTGAACAGATCAATTATTATTGATGTTCTATTTTGATATTAATAGTCGTTATTTATTAAGTAACGTCTCTCCACCTACCAGTTACTATGAAATCGAAATTTCGAATTTACGTTCTAATGTGAAAAGAAAATGTTACTTTTGATCGGTAGTTCAACAAATTTTTATACAGTAGTAAATTAATTTTGCCTTTGCAGAATTTTTATATGTAATTTTCTGTTTTCATGTTCTATTGTATGTGCAATATGTACTTTTTAAAATTTTCAATTTCTGTATTTATAATATTTATTGAAATATATAAANACAACGTCATGCCGATGAAAGTAAATTCAAGGTGAACGTATTTATTTATAATGCTACTTTATAAATTAATATTACAAGAAAATATTTGTATTTAAACTTTACATCAAATATTACCAATTGCCATTGAAATTCTCTTGCATGGAATATAGTATTTTATTCCATTTTTTTTCAATCCATTTGAAACAATAAATACTTCCAATTCTAAATATGCAAAAGAGGTGAACAGATCAATTATTATTGATGTTCTATTTTGATATTAAAAGTCGTTATTTATTAAGTAACGTCTCTCCATCTACCAGTTACTGAGAAATCGAAATTTCGAATTTACGTTCTAATGTGAAAAGAAAATGTTAATTTTGATCGGTAGTTCAGCAAATTTTTATACAGTAGTAAATTTATTTTGCCTTTGCAGAATTTTTATGCGTAATTTTCTGTTTTCATGTTCTATTGTATGTGCAATATGTACTTTTTAAAATTTTCAATTTCTGTATTTATAATATTTATTGAAATATATAAATTACACGAATTTTTATTAATAAGCGATTAATCATGAAATATAATATTGCATAATTAAATCTTTGCTGATATTTTTCTATTTGTCTTTAAATGTCATTGGTAAAAAAACAATAATGCTAAATAATAATGCGTGGTATCGCTATTTAAATAAAGAGATGTTAAAGACAATACACAATTACAATAAATGGAAAATAAATGTTTTATAAAGAAATGTGTAAGGAAAATTTACTATTAATAGTTACGACTTACGACTTATAATTTACGAATGCAGTTTATACACAGACCGTAGTAAAATATAGTTCAGTTGTAAAATTAATAAATGTCATTGACTAAATAAAAGACCAATCAATAATGTAGTTGTAAATGAGAAGTTGATAACATAAATGGTATAAAAAGTCAAGTTTCAAAGTATGTAAAAAAAACATCTATTTCTATTTGCCTGAAAATTTGATGAAGAATGATGTAACTTGTGAATACAAAAATTTAATTTATCATTAATTCAGTTATAATTGTGAAAGTTAAATTTAAATATTATTTTGTATTGTATGTTTTGCTAACAAAATATAATTTCTTCCAGGAATCGGCAAAAATATCTGACTGACAAACCTAAAGTGCGGTGTGTATTCTCTTGATGACAAGAAGAGGAAAAAAAAATTAAAATAAAATTTTTCAATTAAATTTTATAAATTCAAATTACATTTTGAAAATATTCAGCACCAAATTCGCCAAATGAATCTTATTTATTTATTATTATTTTTTTATTTCTTATTTTTTTTGAAAATCTAACAAAAGAATTGTTCAAAACTCAAAACTTTATTCGTATTGAAGTCTAAATTGATATAAAATTATTGATATCAGTTCATGATTAATAAAATATTTTTCCAAAAGTACCGTTTTTATGAATCATTAAAGTTCTTTTCCTTTTAAAGCATTTTGTCAATATAACTTATAATTGAGCGGTTTTCTATCTGTTTAAAAATAATAATTAAACAGATAGAAAACATACTTTATAATTAAAACTTAATTATAAAGTATTTCCCTTTCAATATTGAATTAATTGTATTTAAATACCAGGGCTGTGGAGTCGGAGTCGGAGTCATGGAGTTTTGGTGTTTTAGCCGGAGTCGGAGTGGTAGATTTTTACGCGACTCCACAGCGCTGTTAAATACAAATATGATTAAATATGATCAGTTCATATGTTTTACGAAATCGTTCATTTTGGTACGTTTTACAGATATTTTACATACTCTTGACTTTCACTAATTTTATTCTAATATTTTTATAGATTTTTATTTTCATTATTTTCTGACTTAATACAGTTATATTTTTATTTATTTATTTAGCATGCTGATACAAAGACTCTGATGCGGGGATATAGAACAAAACAAAAGTTTAAATAACCTTACAAAATAATATAAACATATTTCACAGATATATTCATCAATTGCAGTAACATAATATTATATTAATTACAGCGCGATTAACGCTTAATTGTTTTTTAATGTAATTTTTTTATCAAATTTAATTAATCGTTCTAAAGTTGTACTGCACGGATTTTACTTCGATAAAGTAATTTAAAGCTACTTTCTGATATCAAAAAACGACCTCCAATAGTTTTTTAATTTTTCTAATTAATAGATTTTATTATATATAAGTTTAATTAAGTCGAGGGATCGGAAATCGCAATAAAAATTTTAATTTTTTAAAAATATTTTAAAATATACGGCCAGCTAGTATTCACCCTACTTTAAACCCTTGTCCCCCCCGAGACGTCTATGAGAATGTTCCGGGAAATACGACGCCAGCTGTTCTCAAGTCATCCAGCTGTGTAAACAATGACTCATCCGTGTCAAATTTCGCAGAAAGGCGAGACAATGGAAAATAAAGTTTGAAGCTTTTTCTTCAAAATTAACGCATTTCTTTCGTTTTTTTCATTTTTAAGTATTTTTATGTTTAATTACATTAATATCAAAATTGGAATGTCTCAAAGGAGTTAATAGAAAATCACATACTTCATAAATCATTATAAACCAAATTCAATAAAAAGAAAAAACAAAAAAAAAAACTGTAAAAACTACGTGGGAGAACTACCCAGAACAAATTAACAACCAACTAGGTTAAAAACTTATCTAGAAAAAGAAAAAGCAACAATTTATATCACTCTTTCAAAAAGAAATCGGATAGTCTCCCAAGCAGTCCAAGCAATCACTGGTTAAATAATAGGCAGACCATGCCCCAAGACGAAATTTACATAAAAATAACCACTGCTTTCACTTTAAGCCTAAAAACAAAAGAAAGAAAATAAATCAAGATCAAATATATTATAAACATTATGAAATAAACAATTTAATCTTCTTTACAAAAGTAAATACCTTAAAAAATAAATCAAAATCAAAAATAACTTTTTTAAACTGATTAAATTAAAAATAGGGAACCCCAAATATCTCCTCACGTAATTTTGACAAAAAGTACACACAGCGATAATACGAAACGCATCCAATGGCGAGTCAGCCACACCACATACGCAACTGTCCCTTCTAGAAAAAGGAAAACAACAGTTTATAACACTCTTTAAAAAAAATCGGATAGTCTCCCCCTTAATACAGTTATACATTTTATATTCAGAATTATTGTAAAATCCGGAATTTTTACCGAATTTCCCGATTAATATCCCGTATTTTATTAAATTCCCAATTAAATTTTCCTTTAAATTCTAAATTAAAACCTAATGAAAAAGGGGAAAATTCCAATCTCCCCTTTCGTTCAAAGTAAACATCCGTTCATTTCGAAACTAATCCCACATTCCAACTCCAAAGTTGATAGTTAGCATGGGCCCGGGACAACTTTGACCCATCCGAGTACCTTTTACCTCACAACAATTGGTTACATGACCATACTCCCACGACGAAACTATAAAAGCCACTTGCTTCCCCCTCTCGGGGGAGTCGTTTATCAACCGCCAACTACAATTTCCTCGGATACACCGCGTTTCTTTATGCAGCGAGAGTGTAGCGAAATGACGTCACGAGCAGTGTTGGCCAATTAGAAACCAGTTTCAGTCTGTTCGCTGTAAAGCGCTTCTCGAGCGCTGCATAAAGAAACGCAGGAATACTGTGTCCTATCGATATATTGTGTCCTGCGAAATTATTATCATTATCCTACCAGTTCGGAACCCGTTGGATATCAATTTTTTTCCTCAAGAATATTTAAAGACATAAAGAGGTATGAAACAAATTTTTGTGAACTCTCTCTCAGCCCTCACGTTTTAGAGACTCAGAATTTGCCTTCGATAATAGTTATTGTATCATATATACTGTATATGTAGCTAATAAATCGTAGTTTCTTTTGTTAAGTTGGTGTCCTCTTACTCTATATCGCCTGTCACCTTACCGACGGCACTCCTCCCTCCTCCACTCGACCCGAACCCGAAACATTAAATCCCGTTACAGCGGGGAAAAAAAAACATTTAAGACATCCAGGGGCCTTAGTCTCGAGTTTTTCGTGTTACAACTCCCAACGTGTTGAAGATGTCACGTGGTACCATCTCACACACTGACGTCAAATTGGTAGTCTCGAGTTCTAACTCACGTGCTTTTCCATCTCACCATGCGAGTTGCTACTCACGTTGAGTCGAGCATGTGAGATCGCTACACGAAAGTAAAAATGGCTGACGGATACGCAATTCTTATCGCTATCGAAGAGTTAGAAAAAGCCGAAAGACGTTGTTTGAGAAGGCAACGAATTTTTCGACCACGAGTA